CCCTGTTTTTATTTTTATTTTTATTTTTATTTATCTTATCTATTCTGTTTAATGTGTATTTTTGAGCTTTCTTTGTCTGTGCTGCTGCAGCGCCCGAAATTTCCCCTCCGGGGATCAATAAAGTATTATCCTATCCTATCCTATCCTAACAAATTCAGGCGCACCGTTGTGAGTTGTACCATTTATTGTACATGGCGCCCACTGAGGGGTCAGCCAAGCTACGTCTTACAACACTGTTATGTTAATCCTCTTCTAGCACTTCTGGAGCTAATAGCAAAGAATGGATTCGCACCTAGACAAGGTGGTCACTCAGACTTCAACGGGAACTCAGGGCCTCGGCAGCGGCAGAACACCAGCGAGAATACCAGACCAGAAGAAAAGCCCTCGGACACATCAAAACCCTACACAGCAGATCAGCTGGATGCTGTGAGGAGGTACGGTTTATAATGCTGTAAAGCTGTTTTTTTCTTTTTCTTTTAAGGAATATTGTCGATGTATGGCATATTTTCAACTATTTCATAACAACTTATACAGAGAATTATTTTCAATCTACGCAGGATAAAACAATGCAAAGACTTCTATGAAATTCTCGGGGTCCAGGCAGACGCCTCTGAGGATGAACTGAAAAGATCTTACAGAAAACTTGCTTTGAAGTTCCATCCAGATAAGAATCATGCTCCAGGTGCTACTGAGGCGTTTAAAGGTGACCAGCATGGACACTTGCGTCAACAATCTTAATGATTAAAGGCTTTTTCAGAGTGTTCTTTAAATCCTCCATTGTGATACTCAAACATACTTATTTCTGATTTCTGACAGCCATTGGGAATGCATATGCTGTTCTGAGCAATGCCAACAAAAGAACACAGTACGACCAGTGCAGCGAAGAGAGGAAGGATCCTTCGGGACATGGCCATGAAAATGAAAACTTCGAGCCAGATATTTCACCTGAAGACCTCTTCAATATGTTCTTTGGTGGAGGATACCCGACAAGTAAGTGTCACTGTTTTGAAAAAAAAAAAGTTTTTATACCAAGCTTCTGAGATGTGTTTTCATTGTGACGTTCTATATGGTCTGTCTTATTAACTGCTTCATTTGCTATATTCATTTAGGTAATGCTAATGTGTATCCAAATGGCCGGATGCGTTATCCAAGGCGAGAGAGGAGAGAGCGGCAGCGAGATGTAAGTTTATTATTAGAGCTCCTGCAGGCTGCAGACGTGCAAATATTGCAATGTGAGTTTTGCAAAGTCACCTATGACTGTATCTTTTTGGGGGTGCATTCAGCAGTAATGGAGTGTCTTTCCTTTGCAGGGAGGCCTCGCTCTCTTCGTGCAGGTCATGCCCATCCTCATCCTGGTTATTGTGTCGGCTCTCAGTCAGATCATGGTCAACAGCCCCCCCTATAGCCTCAGCTTCAGACCGTACGTTTGGTTCCTTCTCTGACTGCCTTCCTTATTTCAAATCCAAAAACAAACTGCTCTGCTACATTTAAGTAGACTAAGAAGATTATTTTTACATGAAATCTGCTTGAGTTTTCTTCTGTTTTTTTTTTTGGTTTAACAGCTCCAAAAATAGCTTTTAGCTTTTATAGTCTTTGCAGTTATAATGTGCCCTAAGACATATTGACATTATTGCCTTTTTTTAGTTTATTTCTTATTCTGGAGAGAACATCTTATTGCAGCCTTCATTTATCTCAACACACCTCACCAATGTTTGCAGTGATTGCTGGCTCCATGTCCGCTCTCCATATTGTCTCTCTGTGTGTTTCAGATACACTTGTGACCTTTCTTGCCCATCTGTGAGCCACAGCAAGCAATGTGTCGTGTTAACAGAGACAGACCGTCATCCTTGCACTGCATTTGGGTCGTGTGATATATCTCTTACACTTACGTCTTATCTTCACACAGGTCAGCAGGTTACACGCAGAAGAGGTTAACTGAGAACCTGAAGGTGCCATATTATGTGGGGGAGCAGGTCTCCAAAGAGTTGACTGGAGGGAATCTGAAGACTTTGGAGCGGACGGTGGAGGATGATTATATTTCCAATTTGCGCAACAATTGCTGGAAGGAGAAACAACAAAGTATGCGGGCCAGGGAAATCAGTGTGCTTGTTGATGGACTTTACTGCAAGCACTGAAAGTTGTTTCTACCGTTATATGTTCATGGAAAAGGATGAAAGACTAACACATGTTTCATGACCTGTTTTCTTTTTCTGCAGAGGAGGGCATGCTTTATAGAGCTCGCTATTTTGGAGACACTGATCTGTATCAAAGAGCTCAGAGGGCTCGCACACCGAGCTGCGCCAAGCTGTCCGAGATCACAGCTTCATTACATGGATGAGGCTTTCAGGACTAAAAGCATGTTCTACAGAAACATTTTCCACATTTCTGAACATATTTTGTTTGTGATTACAAGCATGTTTCGTCTTTATTTCTCATGTTTTCTTCTTCTTTTTTTTTCCCCAGGTCTCCAGTATCCACACAAAAGAAAAATCGGCTGTAAATAGATGAGCTTTAATAACTGGAAAATGAAGATGACTCAACAAGCAACATGAACAAACCAGCACCAATCTGCATCAAATTGACCACATGGACTGGTTGAAACCATTTCTGTGGAAACTAAGTCTGTGAAATAGAAATACAACGTTTAAAAGTGCTTAAAAAGACAAGAAAAAAAAAAAAAAGCCACTTAAAATAGCTTGAAAGGGTATGGACAACATCCAAGCCCAAGTTCTGACAGAGCCATGATGAAGCAGGCCGAGGCCTCTTCATAATTTTTGTGCAAATGCAGTAAGAAACCAGAACGTAGTTGTAGTCGTACGGATGTTATTTATGTAGCAGCTGATTAGATACCACAGTGAATGCTTCCTCTTTTTTTTTCATGCAGTCAGATCAGCAGGGGAGACAAGTTTTGGGTGAGATTTTCTGTTTTTGCTTAAAATGCACATTCTGAAACTATGCAGGAATAATGTGAAACCTCTGATGAATATACACTCATGTCTAGGTTTGTCAGACACTTGAACACCTTATTTGTCTTCTGCTGCTGTGTGTGTGTGCGTGTGAGAGACAATATGTAGAAAATGTCCCTTTTACACTTTGCCTCTTGTAACTGTATTAAGGGTAAGATCGCATAGTGTATATTTATGGCATTTCACAATAGACGCTTAAAGAAGAAAAGACATAGTCACCCACAAAGAGGGGTGTTTCAGTTTTGCGGCTAAATGTCTCTGATGAATGACTGATGGAATAAGTTGTTTTTTTGTCACACTGTTTATGTTTATAGTATGCTATTTATTTCAAATAGTATTTATTTAACAAATGTATTATCAATCTAAGATAAAAAAACAAACAAACCTTGCTCACTTTTTCCACCCCGTTTTTACTCCCAGATGAAAATAAAATATGGATGCTTAAACGTGTTGGACGTGACTTATTGCTCCGAGCAGATCAGGCACAGAATGCAGAGACAAAAGCTTAGTCAGCACATTCAGCGCATTCAGCAGAAAGTCTGCCGGCTGGCTCATACCTAGGACTGGTAACTGGAAACATGGCACTCGGCACGTTCACGTTTTAGGGAACGTGCAACATGTGCCTCTTAGTAACTTTAGTGTCACAATCTTTCACCGGATACATTCTGCCATGTTTTTTTTGTGGCTCTGCTTTCTATTTTTGTCTCACACCATTTACTGAAGTGTTTTTTTTCTGCAGGTTTTATACATGTGCATGAAATAGCTGATAATGGCTGGTTCCTAGGTCTGTCAGATGATCTAAAAAGGATTAAGCAAAAGATTGACACTCCCACAAAGATGTTCTAACACGGTTAAAGTTTACTAAGAGATTGGCTGCAGCTTGATGATTGTGGTTTTATATTTACCAGAATTGATCACTCATTTTCCAAGATTTATTTGCTTCCCAAATGTCAGTCTAAACCTTTGTTGTAAAACTAAGAATGAATGGAATAGACCTGAAAGGTTTCATAAAAACAAGTCAACCCGAGAACTGAATTGTAGAAAAAAATAATTTATTTGCATCATGGAAGTACAAAACAGTGCAATGGTATGAGTATTTGAATGTCAAATAAATAAAGTTGAATGCAAACAGGTCCACACAGATACAAGATAGAGCCTGAAATAGCTGCAGCTTGCACATAAACTGCACAAGGCAAGCAGTGGTAGGCCTCTGCTCTGAATTTAAAGCAGTTACTAATAAAGGTCCCTAATGGTATGCTTGGTGTACATATCATTAACAGGTGAACGTTACAATTAATTAACACTTAAAAAAAACACAATGGTCTTTCATGAATATAATCATATAGCTAGCTGCCTTTTACATTGTTTCAATAGAAACTGAGGTACGCACTTCAATGCTTGCAAAATGCCTTTTGAGCAGATATTATCAGGATGTTAACACATTTGAAAATTCCGTCATCAGTGCAGAGTGGGTGTTTATCCAACACCTGCTCCAGGTACCATGAACTTTTATCTCCCTTACAATAGGAACAATAGGATGTACCATGACAGAGTCCCTCCTTACACTTTAGAAGGCATCATACACATGACATTACAGTAATAAGGCTCTTCTGTGAGCTCATTTTAAAGTCGTAGACAATAAACCATTAAAAGTCCTCTACACCTCTTAACATTCTTCAATGAGCAGTTCTTCAGAACAATACAGTTTCTTCTTAATCACGCGGAAACCAGTGCTAAGTTTGATTGCTTGTCTCACTACTGGACTGGTAGGAGACTTCGCAGTAAAAAGTCCTTGGATTTTTGGCCACAGTCCCCCAGACTCCAGCCTCAGCACCAGGGTCAGCTGAAAGGTGGGGACAAGGTAAGGGTCTACAGATAGCTGCCCCATGCTCTCACAGGTGGCCCCCTGCTCAACACACAGGTCAACGAGAGCCCCTCTTAAACCACAGGGCTCACTAGCTGCCAGGTGAAGGAGCTCCTGTCCGATGTGCTCCAGAAGTTTCTCAGGAATGAGCAGTTTTGTGCATCGCAAGGCGCAGTCTGAGTCTTTGGCTTCTCTCAAGCTTCGTGCAATAAGGTCCACGACTTCTTTCAGGATGGTTTCCTCCATTGGATCATAAAACAGGTCATCATTACAGGGGGAGAGGTCACTTGAGACATCTGAGCCTGTTAAAAAAATACACAATGGGTAAGATATAGAAGAATGCAATGTATGGAAGATATAAACAACCTCTAATAAGTCAATTATAAATGTTTGCAAGCACTGCTTACCTGAGTCTGAGAGATCACTCCTGCTGCCATTGTTGGACCCAGACTCTATACTGCTGCCATTGCTAGATGTGCTGAAATCAGTCAGTCTTTGCACCAGTTTGCCCCAGGACAGCCTCCGTGGACTACTGTCCACCGGGGAAGGTGGTGAGCTGCCGATATCAGTAGGTGCAGACAGGGCAGGCATGGTTGTCTTCTTTGCAGTATTCAATAGTAACAGCTTCTTCTGTGCTCTGCTATTCACGACAAGAGAAAAACAACTGATAAGCTTTCAAGCACGAAATAGAAGAGGATAAGTTAGCAGTTTAAATAACCGCAATTGTTAGGTTATAAGCATTTTAAGTATGGCTTATTTCGGAATGCATGAATAGGAAAAGTTATTAGCAGGAACACCATTGTTTCAATGGAGGCAGCAGCTCTAAAACTGGTTAAAATTAGCACCAAAGATAGCCAGAAACACAATAGTAAAACAGTACTTACCGCGTATTTGCAAACGACGTCGTTTGAATTCGCTGTCGAGTGTTTCATGTAGTTTTTTGCCTGCTCATTGTCTTCAATAACAAGTGCCGAAAAAAACTTCTGTCCCTAACGCTGTCTCTGTCTCTCACCAGCTGCCAGGCTCTCTGCAGTTTCTCCGACAACAATGTTTATATAGGGGCTGTTAGGCCACGCCCATCCCTCTCCAGCTAGCCAATCAAAAAGAGGGGCACGCCATCTGCGCTGTATCTTGCCTGGTAACATGCCAGCAGAGAAGACAAACACGGGGCAGAGGAAGGGGGGTTGATATGATGAATAGCAGACCCCAGTGTTGTGGAAATGTACAGGGTCTTGCAGGAATAATGCTGCATTTCTTTGTTTTATATTTTTCATGGGCATACATATACATTTCTTAACTGTATAAGCGTCCAGAGTGTATTGACAGCATAGAGGTCCGGCAGCAAGTCCATGCAGGCTTAGCTCTGCTGGTACAGTGTTGCAGTGCACAATTACGTCACCTGTTTTGCTCGAGCATTACATCAGAATTTTTGATCAGGCACACAGAGATGCAAACATCAGCTCATGCTCATCAACACCATCAAAAGTTAAGCACAACTCTTGATGCAGGACAAATTAAATATATGTTTTACAATGTAATGTTTCCACCTCAAATTGAAAAAAAACAAAGCACAACAATTTGGATGCACAAGCAAAGAAGCAGACAAACTAATATTTAATATATCTATTAAGCATGTGTTATCTATATCTATTAAGCATGAATATTATTCATAATGTGAGTTATAGGACTCCAGAAGGAGAAACTTAAATGTTTTAAAATAAAAACATAAAACTGGCAGTACAAAGGGAAAAAACTGCTGCCTCTGTTGGTCATACTGTGCATGACAAACTCAGTGTTTGCATAGAAAAAGTTATTGGAAAGCTGCCAGATATATGCTGTTACTGCACGTGACTGGGACGGCCTGTACTTTATATCAGGAAATGAAAGACGTAAACACGTGTCGCAGGCTCAGTATGTTCAGGGGGAGGATGTTATGAACGAAGAGTCCACAGCAAAGTTCTGGGGTTGGGGAGGGGGGGGGAGGTAGTTCCCTTTTTCATATGCAAAGATTCTGAGCCAAAGTTAAAGTCTTCAGTACAAAAAAAAAATAACTGTCATGAATGTTCAAGAACATTGAGAACACTACTTGTAAACTGGATTCCTAGAAGGTGTGCAGTAAAACTTTTGAACTCCTAAAAAAAAAAAAAGAAGGGACATTTAAGCTCCAACTAGGGGTGTGTCTTACAGTGTCCAGGGCCGCCCTAAGACATTTTTTTACTCAGAAAAGTACATTCTGTACAGTCCCAGCCCTCATTTGTTTGAAAACAATAAGCCGCTAAACAAAACATCACAGATCTGCACACCTCCTTGTCGTCAACATACGAGAGTAATATCACGTACACCGCCACATCATCAAGTTTTCAAAATGTGCCAGAAAAAACTGTTCACTCTGAAGAACAGCTGATTACTTCACGAACAAACAAGTCTTAAGATTTAGTTGCCCATCATTAAGAAAACAGAATCATGTCAGTGGAAGTTAGGACACTGCAAAGCAAACACACACAAGCCAAGGAATGTCCAAGTATGACTTTATTTACAAGCTTCCTTTGTTGTGCTGGAGCACACAGAGACGAGGACTCACTAAGAGAGGAGAGAGCGAGCAGGCAAGGAGTGTTTCAGATTTATGAGTTACAAAGCAGCCATGAGGAAACACAATACCTCACTTCAAGGGATTTATTACACAACATAAATGTTTTCTCCCCTAACACAGAGTGTTAGAACAGCTTTGGCTGGAAAAACAACCTAACCTTCAAGCATAAATCAGATGGAAAAAAAACATACCAAGAACTTGCAGAAAAAAAAAACTTTGATATGTTTACAATTATTATAAACAAAGATTTTTACTGAGAGGTGTTTTAGTTATTTTATTTTGGGTAAACAAGAAAGCAATACTCAGACTATTGCGAAAGTGATCTCACATTCAGTATTTCCAGATACAAAGAATCTGAAATAGAATAAAACCAAAAAAATGAATATAGCTATACACTAAAATAAACCACCTCCTTCTATTTGGCTTCTTTATTTTCTGAAGGCACCTGAGAGCTGTATTCAAGACGGTGTAAATCCTAATAGCTGCTCAATAGGTTTATACCGCCACTCGTCTGCTTCTAGCTCCTCCACCAAGCTCGCAAGTTTCTCCATTCGAGACACTTGCTGATCTGGAAAAGGTACAAAAGTGATACTCTATTAGGGTAAGGAATTTTCATGGATCACACAAAGAAAACAGCATGTACAGCATTCCTTTCATAAACAGTTACTGACTTACCATGTTTGACTTGTTTTAGTGTGGAGGCAACTTGGTAGCTGAAAACAGACTCACATAAAAATCGGTCTGAGCCATCTAGAAAGAAACAGAAAAACGTCAAGAAGAGGTATATTAGAGAGATGTAATTGTGCCTTTTGTGTTCATTACACTAAACAGACAATTTTATAATAGAGCATTCAAACTACTCCTGAGAGAGGACTTCGAGTTGAATGTTGTGCAATTTTCAGTGTTACATAAAAACAGCCTTCAGCGCTGCCAGACCTTTAGTAACACGACAGTCCTATTCATCAGTGTGTTTGCTGCTTTTAAACTTGCAGCAC